ACCCAATGTGGGGCTTGAACTCACAACTCCAAGATCAAGAGTCAAATGCTCCACCAACTGAACTAGCTAGGTGCCCCCAATACTATTTCATTTTTTTAAATGTTTATTTTTTAGAGAGAGAGTGAGTATGTGTGCATGTGCAGGCAAGCAGGGGAGGGGCAGGGAGAGAGGGAGACAGAGGATCCAAAGCAAGCTCCATGCTGATAGTGGAGAGCCCGATGTGGGGCTCAAGCTGGCGAATTGGGAGATAGTGACCTGAGCCGAAGTTGGATGCTTAACCAACTGGGACACCCAGGCACCCTAATAGTATTTAATTTTTTTAAATTGCTATCTAGGACTCACTACATTGTTTTTATGACTGCTGGTGGGGTTGCAGCCTGCATTTTGGAAAACATTAGTCTAGAAAGATCATACTGAGTAAACAGGAGAGTTGCATAAGGTTAATGGAGAATGGTTGTGAAGCTCAGGTCCCATAGGGATTAATAAGCCACAATAAAGATTTTGGCACTTATTTGAGGTGTGATGGAAAATTATAACAATCCCCAAGATTTATTTATTTATTTTATTTATTTATTTATTTATTTATTTATTTATTTATTTATATATTTTTGAGAGAGACAGCATGTGAATAGGGGAGGAGCAGAGAGAGAGGGAGACACAGAACCTGAAGCAGGCTCCAAGCTGTCAGCGCAGAGCCCGACGGGGGCTCGAACTCACGAACTGTGAGATCATGACCTGGGCTGAAGTCGGATACTCAGCCAGCTGAGCCACCCAGGCACCCCTAAAAATTTTTTTTAATGTTTTATTTATTTTTGACAGAGAAACAGAGCATGAGTGGGGGAGGGGCAGAGAGAGAGGGAGACACAGAATCTGAAGCAGGCTCCAGGCTCTGAGCTGTCAGCACAGAGCCCAAAGCAGGGCTTGTGCTCACAGACCGCGAGATCATGACCTGAGCCTAAGTCGAAAGCTCAATGGACTGAGCCACCCAGGTGCCCCAATCCTCAAGATTTTTGAATTGAATGATAGGAATTTTAAAAAGATCAACTCTGGCTGCTGGGTGGACAGTGGATTAAAGGAGTGGGGCTAGAGCAAGGTGGACAAAATGGCCCACAGGCCAAATCCTCACCACCTGTTTTTGTGAGGCCTGCAAGCTAAGAATAGTTTTCACACTTTGCATTTCAAGTTATTGGGAATGAATCAAAAGAATAATATTTTATAATATGAAAATTATATAAAATTTGAACTTAAGTGTTCACAAATAAAGTTTTGTTGGAACACATTGGAGTTCACCTGTGTACATATAGTTTGTAATCACTTTTCTGCAGTAAGGCAGACTTGGGTATTTGCCCATAAAGCCTAAAATATTTACTCTGTGGCCCTCTATGGAAAAAGTATGTTGACCCTTGTATTAGAAGTGTAAGCAGCTATTATCAGTAAAGAATCTATTGCAGAGTTCAGGAAAGAGATGATAGTGGTTTGGACTAGGGTAGCAGTATACATGAATACAAGGGGATGAGTATGGGAACTATTTTGGAGAGGGGGCTAAGAAGGCTTGCTATTGAATTGGCATATGGGTGGAATTGATTGAAAAGTTATTTTTCCTTTACTGAAAAAGGAACCATCTAGCCAGAAAGTAAACAGATTATGTTGCATTTTCTTCTATATATTTTAAAAGATAAAAGATGCATGTAATTATTAAAAGCAACTTTAATATAAAATGAAAAGTATATATTTGTCTGATATAAAAAGGCATTTAAATTGTAATCCTTGCTCTATAACTAGCTTCTTCCTATATATTTTAAATTTACTAATCTCTTTTCTACATATACGCTCATCCTAAATTTTAGGGTTGTTCTGGGTTTAACAGTATAGCACATTGTTTTAAATGGCTTGCAAAGGTAAACTTAGGTGGAATACTTAGAAACCTAAACTATGGTTTCCTATAGGTTCTGCGACTATAGTATGTAATATTTCATTTGCATATGTGTGTCAGCTATCTCAAGGTGGTACTTTTTATTATCTTTAGGGATGAAATTTACTGATTTGGTTTTGATTTTTAAGTTTCTTTTTTCTTGTATAGCCCCCTGAGTATAATGGAAGTAGTCTTTGAAACCTTAAAGCTAGAGTATCTGACATTTGCAATAAATTACTCTTAAACAGCAATCTAAAGTTTTAAAACGTAGCAGTTGTTTCTGTCCATTTGCTGTACCTACAGTTTATAAAATTTTGTAAGAATTGTATTTATACAATTCTTTATACTTTTCTGGCTCTATCAAAAGGCTGACTGGATAATCTGAAAACCCTCTGCTTCAAATCACCTAGGAATGCTAGCTAAAATACAACAAACAACCATTTAAATGAATAGTTGAGCTTTCAGGAAATTAAGGGAAACACTCAGGATCCAAAAGTGAGAAAAAGACTGAAAAACAGAGGAGTGTCCTTAAAACACTATACCTGTAGCAAAGCTGTAGATGAAGAAAAGAATCCATCCACCAGCACTGGGAGACTACAGAGAAGCTTGTAAGTAAGAATCTGCAGATATAGTCCTGTCTCTTGTTGGCTTGGAGTTTAATATTACCTACTTGGTCCATGAAAACCTAAACTGAGAAATAATGAAAAGGATTGATAGGGGAGCAAAACCTCTGAGTTATGTGGAAGAAACAAACTTAAAACATCCTTGATGTGACAAGCTTTCAAACTAGGTTGCCAGGATTCCCACAGTTAAGCTGCATAAAGATGAGTTTGCAATGCTCAATTTAAAAATTCAGAGGACAGTCACCCATTATTGATAATCACTAGGCACAACAAATAGGATTAAATCCTTAAGACCTGATAAGTATCATATAAAAACCATAAAATAAGTATGTTTAAAATGACTAAACTCTTAAGGAAATGAAAACATAAGGAAGTAAAACAAAAGATTTGGAAAGTAATCCAGTAAAACTTAGAGAAAAAAAAGTCATTAAAAAAACAAATGAGTTAAGGTGATTGAATAAGGAATAAGTGAGATTTGGACACAGTATCAAGAATGCAAGAGAGAGAGCAAGAAAGAGGAAAAATAAGAAATGTTTAGAGACACAAATTGGAATGAGATGATCCAACGTAATGTGTGTGGTTTGTTTTTTTTTTTTTATGTTTATTTGAGAGAGAGAGAGGAAGCACGCACATGATGGGGGGAGGGTCAGAGAGAGGGAGACCAAGGATCCGAAGCAGTCTCTGCATTGTCCCATGAACCATGATCATGACCTGAGCCGAAGTTGACGCTTAACCAACTGAGCCACCCAGATGCCCCTCCAAAATAATGCTTAATGGAAGTTCCAATAGAAAACAGAGTAATATGGAGACAAAGTAATATTTGAAGAGGTAATGGCTGAAAATATTGCAGAATTAATGAAGGGCAGAAGTCCTTAGATTCAGCAAGCTTAATGAGTCCCTAACAGGATAAATAAAAAATTAATCCTCCCCTAGACACCTCATGAAACTAAAGAAAATAGAGTTTTTATGGGTAGCATTTTCCTACCACTAAGATATTGAAATAAATTCACCTTAAATAAGGGTTAAGATGTTACTTTCCAGTAACAAGGTGAAATTTTCACTGGTCTATCTGTATATTCACTATTCATCTTGTGACTAAGAGCTTCACTTTTTGAAGTTTTTTTATAAGTTTTTGCCATGGAACATTAGTATCTAAATATTAATTAGCAGTGCTATGAGGAAAATATTTCTTTTCATGACTAGTTTTCTTATTGAGGAATCTAATGAAGTATGCCATCAAATAACTACCATTCAGCTTCTTCCAAAATGTGTGGGAACTTTAAAGTCATTGACTAAAAATAGTAGCAAATCTTTGAAAAGTTTTAACAAAAATCTGTTAGTTTTCCTTCTTGTCCACTCATTTAGTTCACTTTTAGGATTTTTTCTTTCTGTATCATGAAATTACTCATTTCTTTTTCCTTGTGGTTTCCATTCTGATTGTTCTTTTCCTGTTTATTTTTCATACACTTTTGCGGAACAACTATATTTGCAAGTCACTTAAAATGGTTTATTCCTCCTATGTTTCAAAAGTTAAATAAACAAAACCCACCTTGCTTTATTTAATTAGCCCTTCTTTTTTTATTTATTCCACCTTATTATTATATTACTGCACTAGCTAGTCAACAGATAAATAAAATGGGCCCTCGGTGAAAATGATTACCTCCATAAATAATCTCATTTACCCTTTTGGGTCAACTGTTTTGATGTGGGCTGGAGTTAGGCGGAAGGTAATCTGCATGCTCCCAACACGTCAGACTTCACTTTGAAATATTCTGACTTCAGCCCTTACCAGCATTAATTATTTATTAATTTATGAAGTGAACATTCCCTGGTCACATAAGCAGATGATGAGTGAGTGAGTGAGTGAGTGTGTGTGTGTGTGTGTGTGTGTGTGGAGAATGGGGAGAAGAGGATAGGAATCTCTGGCATCCTTTCCTCTTACTATGCATACCTACTAGCATGTATACATTCACATCGCTTTTCCAAACTAGGTTTTCCCCTGTAAAACCACTTCTTAATATTCTATGCTTGTTATTAGATCTTATTTTTAACCATTGTTATGTGCTAGTAAATGTGTATATGAGATGTAAAACTAAATCCGTTAAGCTTCTTTTATTTTTCTAGCTTCCAGTCTGTACTTTTGGACATTCTGTATTATTTAAATATCTTCTAAAAGTTTCTTTCCTTACTTATAGTCAGTCAATTATGAATTTTAAACTTAACAACTTTTGTTTCAAACTGCACACTTAAAATTTTACTCCTTATGTTTGCAGTTGGTGTGCATACTATTTTATCAGGATATAAGTTTTTCAGCAAGGAAATGTTCCCATTTTCTTTGTACATTTCCATATGCAAAATGAGTTTAGATTTTTAAATTTTCTTTTAAATCACCAGGCTAAGTTTTTACAGTCATTCTTATCTAATATGTCTTGGATATTAAATTATGTTTGTATATTGTTATTTAGGTGACTATTATATGGTTAAAAAGATTTTGGAGGAAAACAGTTCAGGTGACTTGAACATAAATTGCGTAGATGTGCTTGGGAGAAATGCTGTTACCATAACTATTGAAAACGAAAACTTGGATATACTACAGCTTCTTTTGGACTACGGTTGTCAGGTACAAGGCTAGATAATTCTATCCAGTAGCTTCTAAGTACTGTTAGATATGCCATATTTTCTTCTTTCTTTCTAGTTTTCTTCCACTCCCTCCTCCCTTTCTTCCTTCTTTTTTTTTTTTTTCTTAATTTCTTTCACCCTTTATTTGGTCTTGAGCCACTAAAAGTTTTAAAAACAAACCATGAAAAAGCCTTTTTATAAAAAGTATATTTTGACTTGATTTATCTTTTTCCTCCCAATTTTGACTTTTTCCTTCCTTATAAATATTTTATAACATCTGACAGGTAAATTATCATGACTTATTAAAGATGGCTTTGTTTTTATTACTTATGTTATTACTATTTATATTATATATCTAAAAATAGTACAAATGTTCTGGAAGTGTCAGGGAAACAGATTTTTCTGTGGCCCGTGTAATTTACAAACAAAAGAACAAAATGCTCCTGACTCACAATGCAATTTTTAACTTGACTTTTATTTTGTCCTTTTAAATTTTATTAATTTTTCCCTTTTGTCTGAAGTTTAGTGTTTGCTTATAACTAAAAGTGAAAAAAAAATTTTAACTGGAAAATACAGACCTTTCTGTTTGTCTTCATATCAATTCAGGTAGAAAAGCAGGCATGCATATAAGTCTTGAAAGAATTCAGTCAAGAGATTGTGAAGGAAATTTAATAATATTATTTTCCTTTTCTTTTGGGTTTGCTTATGATGGGAGCACATGAATTCTTGCACTTCTTTTTTTCTTTCAAATAGCATGATTGTTTGCTCTGTTGGAGCTTCAAATTAATGAGGCTTTTTATTTTAGTGGCATCAGGAAGCACTCACAGAAAATTTAAAAAGTATAAGTAAGTTTTATGTGTATTTTTACTGTGTGTATATATACATATGCATTACAATATATGGCACTTTCTGTGTACATGCATATTTGGAGTAGAAAAAGAAATTGCCTTCCCAGCAATTCCAGTTATCTAGAACACCACTGAGAACCAGAAAGTAACAAAAAAACATCCCTGAGCAGTAGGTGCCGTGAATTTTTCCATTTATGAACTTTAGTCAATAGAGTACTGGAGCTCTCCTTCAACTTTAACAAACTTAGAATACTTACTCTTCTAATCCATAGAGAATTAGAGGGGCAACAGAAGGGACATGAGGGCTGCAGAAAAACAAAATGGGGCGCAGTACCTCTGACTCTCTTTAATAAAGAGGTCAAAAGCATTACATATCTGATAATCTCTGAAGAAGTTGTATGTTGGGATGGTAATCAATGTTTATAACAATGGCCCAGAATAAGTGAGGAAAAGTTAAATTATATTCAGTACCTATTGTTTTGGAAGAAAGAAGAATATGTATAGTACTTCTGAAAGCAGAAAGCTTCCATCAAAATAGTTTAAATTTCAAAGTGAAACACTTAAAGGCATAAGCTTCAGTGACCTAGAAAATAGTTATAAAGAAGGACCCTGATGATTCTGGATAAAAGAAGTATTATAGTATGATAATCATTTTTATCTTTTTACATACACGATCCTGTGTATATAATAATTCTGCAGTATACATGGTGTCTGATCACATTTGAACATCATAGCCAGCCTATATAGTTGTTATATTTTATAGACCGGAAAACTGAGGCTCATAGACTTTAATGAATTGCCCAAAGTTCTAAAGTGAGTGAGAGGAAAGCCAAGATTTGAACCTGATCTTCTGACTGCAAATCCCATGCTCTTTCCAGTTCACTGTGTTCTGTCTCAGGTTATCTCCGTCTTACCTATCAATCAACAGATGTCCAAAGCCTTTGGTTGGGTGTGATTGTGGAAATGAATAAGTAAAACGTGAGGTCTGTACTAAAGGATATTAAAACTAATTGGACAATGAAAGTATAGTTGACCCTTGAACAATACAAATTTGAACTGCATGGGTCCATTTATATGTGGATTTTTTACAGTGTAGTACTGTAAATGTATTTTCTTTACCTTATGATTTTCTTAATAACGTTCTTTTTTCTAGCTTACTTTATTGTTAGAATACAGTATATAATACACATAACATGCAAAATATATGTTAATTGACTGTTATTGGTGAGGCTTTGGTCAACATGCTATTAGTAATTGACATTTGGGGGAGTCAAAAGTTATATGCAGATTTTTGAGTATGTGGGGGGTGGACACCCCTACCTAACCCCTGTATTTTTCAACTGTACATAAGAATTTCTAATCAGTTAAATAATGCAGAAGTGTATTTGATAAGTACTGAGTGTATTATAATACTTGACCCTTGTGTATTACTTTGAGGTTAAAAAGTGCTATTATGTATTTTATCTTGCGTTATGCTAGTGGCTCTCATAGGACAATTTTGCTCTCCCGGGGACATTTGATAATATCTGGAGACATTTTTGGTTTCACAACTGGTGGATGGACCACCACTGGCATGTGGTAGGTGGAGGGTAGGGATACTGCTAAACATCCTGCAGTGCACAAGACAGCCCCACAACAAAGAATTATCTGGCCCCAAATGTCAATAACGTTACTATTGAAAAACCATGTTTTATGGTTAAACTTTTGTGCTTTACAACAGATGTTTTGGAAACATAGAAAAGAGAAAGTCACTGTGTATCTGCTATCAAGGTTTCATGGAAGTGTGTCACTTGAGCTCAGCTTTCAAACATTAATAATTACCAATATTTATGTAGTGCTATTGTATACTAGGAATCTTAAATATATTCACTTCTTTAGTCCTCACCACAGCCCTATGAGATAGGTACTATTATTATTTCCATATTATAGTGGAGAGAACCAGTATACAAAAAGGTTAAGTAACATGCCCAAAGGTACAACACAAATGGCAGACTTGGAATTTGAACCCAGGTTCTGGCTCCAGGGTCCATGCTTTTACCTACTACTGAAACTACTCTCAAAAATGTACAGATAGCTCTGGAATAGGAGATGTGGAAAAGGATGTAAATAAAAGCACATGCAATGTATATTTTTGAGACAATGGATAATTTAGCCTTCTGAGGAAATTATTTGGGCTGGATGGTAGTGGGAAATATCTGGAAAAATAACTAAAACAAAACTAATGAAAAGAGCCTGAATGCCAGGCTAAGGAATTTGGGTGTATAGATAGTGGGGTCATTAAATGATTTTTGAGGAAGAATGTGATGTGTCCAGTAATATTTTAGGAAAACCATTCTAGTGGCTGTGTTCAGTACAGATTAAAAAATGGAAAGTGGGGAAGGCCATAGCTTGGGTGAACAGTTTTTACAGTAATCCAGATAGGAAGAGGTTAAAGCCTGAACTAGAATAGTAGCTACAAGAATAGGAGGAAAAATGGCAGATGTGAAAGATGTTATGAAGGAAGAGTTGATAGAACTTAGTATTTAAATTTGGAGGGGAGAATTTAAAAAGTCTAGGATGATTTGGAAATGTTAAACATAGGTGGCTGGGAGAAGGATGAAAGAAGTTAAGTCAAGCGTGGGGCAGAGAAATGTGAATTCTGGTTTTAGTCCTATTTATTTGGGGGGTATCAGGCAGTCTCCAATACACAGTTACACATGAAGATTAAATCTCTAGGGAGAGGTCAGGCTGGAGAGATAGAGCAGTCATGGACATGGGATGATCACCTGCATCATGAAAGTGGATGAAATTACCGAGGAGAGCAAAGGGCTCGTGCTGATTCTTTCTCAGGGGACATCTATGCTAATAAAGGCAATAGAAGGAAAGGGTTCCATTAAAGGAGTTTGGGATAGTGCAGCATTGTGAACACCAAAGAAAGAGTTTTAATGTGTTGCTTAGAAATCAAAGAAAATGAGGGAGTAGAAAAGGCACTGGATTTTGAAACTGGCATCAGTAGAGTTAGAGAACATGATATGCATGGGTCTGAGAAATTTGACAGAGTGAGAGAAAGAAAACTTGAGTGGTGAAAAGAAAAGACAGGATCAAGTCAGCTTAGCAAGAGTGAGGAAGTATTTCATGTTTTGGGAGATGGGAGCTAGGACTGTTTTTTCTGTAAATGAAGGACCAAGTGCCTATAGAAGAAAAACATTAAATAGAATACCAAGGTGGAAAACAGCTTTGGAAAGAAAATAAGAAGCTTCTTACTTTGAGCTTAGGGGAAAGAGTATGGGAATTGTTGAAAAGACATTCTGAGATGGGAAGGAATATAGCAAGCACCCTCGTTAATACATAATAAGTATACATATTGAATACATTGGTATAAGGTAGGGATGGTCAAATATTTGTGAGAAACTGGGAAGCAAAACTAATGACCTTTTGTCCTAACAATATTTTAAACATTATTTGAAACTTTTTCATTCAGAACTTCCTTTGATTTATCAAATAAATATGATTTGTGCAGAATAAGTTAATCGTAACTCCTTATTTACACGATTTTTTTACACAAACAGTTTTTATTCCTGAAGCTTATCCTTTTAAGCATTGAAAGATTTAACATGAATCTTTCTTTATTCTTCACAAAATAGTGTATCTGAATATAATTTAACTTTACCATCATAAGTGGGAATCGTTGAGAATATAATTGTTTTATTTTGCTTTATATAATCTGAAAATATTAACATGTTTGTCCTTACATTATATGGCTTCAGACTGCTCTGTATTGATAGCGATTTTGCTATACTGATATTTTATCTTTTCATTGGTCAGCTTTTAGCAATTTTTTCACTTCTTTCTACTTTGTTAGTTTTAACCTAGCTGTTTCCTTATTCAGTAAAGACTTGGAGAACACTTGGGAAAGCCAGTTTTCCTTCATTTATAGACAACTCTTAAGTCAGTATGGTTGAGGCAATTCCTCCTGGGAAATAATGCCCATGAAGTTAGTTTGTGACAGCTCAATATAGTTATTTTGGAAATTTGCAGTTGGATCCATGGCTATGTTTCAGATAGTTGGAGTTGACTGGTGCTTTGACTTGAAGAGCAGTGCCATTACTATAATTAGCTTTATAGGTTAAAATTAATCATAAGTGAAATGTTTAGTAGTAATGAATACATAATTCTTTTTGTTTGCTTCACCTGACCAAGTATGGTAAAAACTGAAGAGAAATGTTTGCAAAGTAGAAGAAGAATGATGCTAAATTCAAAGAATAGGCTACAGCCCAGTGAACCCTAAAAGTTTTAAGGGATAAAATAATTACATTTCTCATTAGAGTGGGGGGGTTTTCCTGTGGCAATATATAGGCAGTTCCTAATGATTGAATGTGGCCCCCAATTCTTTCTTTGGTGTGCTTAGTCCTATTTTTAGATATCCAAATAAAGTCTTCCATTTTTAGTCCTATTTTTGACATCTAGAGAAAGTGAATGGAAGTTTTATTCTTTTCAGCTACAAAGAATACTAAAGATCTGATAGAGTTTCATTTTCAAAAGAGAGAGGATGTTGATATAGATGGTTGTCAAAGACTATGACAGTTTTTCAAGTGTACAAATTGAAAATAATCGGGTCATTTTTTAAGATTAAAACATTATTTATCCCCATGTTTCCCTTCTCCCTTTATAGCTTTCTTTAAGAAAACAAAACAAAACCAAACAAAAAGAAACACAGAAACCTGATGTCACAGTTGCCAAGTATAATAATAGGACTGTAGACTTTGTTGCAGTGTTGGAAAGTCCCTATTCCCAGCTTCTATTTACTTTTTCTTCCAAAGTTGGAGTTTCAAAATGAACTATAGTTTGGGATTTTTAAAACTATAAAGTCACTTCTCCATCTTGTCTCTAAGGACATTGGTGGCCTAGTTTTTTGTGGCTTTTACTTGATAAGATTGCTAATATCAATGTCAAATTTGTACCATTTCAGTCAGCCATGTATGTTTTAAAGTTGAGAACAGAGGGCTCCCCTTATCCTCATGGTTGCATTGATGATAATTTTTATTAGACTGAACATACCCTGTACCAGTAGTAATAGTCCTTGGCAATTTCTTTAATACATCTGGAATGTTAAGATTCTTTTGGTTCAAAGTTCAAAAGTAAAGATCTTGAAAAAATTTTTCAACTTTAAATATGGCATGGATCCATTAATAAACCCTTCTCTTCAAGCATTTATTATTTCACCGGTTTATGCAATGAAACCAGGACAGAAATTTGTGTGTGTTGTGGTACACAAAAGTACTGCTAAGGCCAGCAAATGTACTATTTATTTGGATAGTCTAAATTTTTAAATATTTAATATTACTGTATATAATACAGTTTAAATTTAAAGAGTTTTATTTAGGAATTAGTAAAAATAAATAGTTTACCTTTTTATCCTCCATTTTCATTTTTAACCTTTTTTTTTTTTTGAAGTCCGCAGATGCACTTTTGGTGGCAATCGACTCTGAAGTAGTGGGAGCTGTTGATATACTACTTAATCATCGACCAAAACGATCATCAAGACCAACTATAGTAGTTAGTACTCTTAAATATTTATTAATTTGGATTTTTAAACCAAAATAGATCTGCCCCATTGCCATTTTTTTCTTCCCCCAAATTTATTTTGTTCTAAAGAAATAGTTTTTTTTACTGTAAGGTATTGCCTTAAAGTAAGTAGACACTTTGAAGAATAATTAATATTGCTTTCAGGAAACCTTTTTAAAATTAGTGATATTTCCATAACTTTGTCAGTGTGGATCAGTATTTTTAGTTTTGAACATTCTATAGATTAAGTTGAAAATTCAGGTTAGTTTCCAAATGGATTTACGAATTAAATATATACAGTGAAACCATAAAACTGGAAGAAAATGTAGGTGAATATTTAAGTGATTAGGAGTGGAAAGACTTTGTAAACTTAAAACCAAAGGACAAAAATCATAAAAAGCAATGGCACAACCATTGGCTGTATAGAAGTTAGATTTCTGAAATTCAGACATTGAAAAAATTTAGAAAGCAGATGGATAATTGGAAAATATATTTCCTATATATCACAAATTAATCTTAATAATTGACAAATTGATGAAAAATATCAAGATGAGAAAAGGACATGAAAAACATCTCAGAAAAAGATGAAAAGTTACTACTAATAACACATGAAATACTAATTTTTGCTTGTCAAATTAGCAAACATTTTTAAAAATAATGATCATTGATTGCAAGGGAGTAGTACAGTCTCACACACAATTGGTAGGGAGGGTATTTTGGGAAGCAGTTTGGCAGAATGTGTCATAAACAAGAAAGATGCTCATATTTTTTAGTGCTTCCTCCTCTAGAAGCTGGTCAGAAATGTGGACAAAAATGTTAATTGTGATCTTATTTGTAGCAATGAAAAAACCATATGACACAATTTAAACACCCCCAAATAAAAGATGGGAAATAGTAATAATTACATATGTATTAAAATGGTATTTTTCAAAGAATATATACAAACCTGAACAAATATCACATAAGAAGTCAAAAAATGAGAATAGTAAACTGGACATACAATATATAGTCCAAAGTTAAAAACATGCACAGACAAGGAACTATGAAATGTAGCAAAATGTTACCTCACAGCAGTCATCTCATTGCTAAATTAAGGGTATTTTTTGTGTTACTCCTTTTTTCTTTATTGCTTTTATAATTAGGAAGATAGCCACTAATCAAATTCTACTTTAAAAATGATATATTTGTTATATATCAAAATTTAGCAATTACAACCTTCATTATTGGTGAGGAGGTAGTAAGACAAGCAGTTTAAATAATTGCTGGTTGTGTAAACTGGCTATACTCAGAAAAATATTGTTTTACAAAAGAATTACAACTTGGTTACAGATTATCTGCCATTATCTGAGAACAATGAGAAACTCTGCTAAATTGCATACTTTATCACATATTAACTGAAATATTTTACTTTCATTTAGATATTACAAAGTTTGTGTAAGCATGACTTTCTCCATAGGAGTGTACCAACTAGTTTAAGTTGTGGCGAGAGACCAACAGGAGCAGAGAAAAAAAAGGCCAAGAATACAGCCCCTGTCCAAAGGGTCAGAAATATCTGGACTCCTATTCAATTTTCTGTCACCTGTCTTGCAGTCATGATTATATTTTGGTATACTTATTCCACTTTCTAGCCTTTTAACCCCTTTACTTTTTTGGCAGGGAGTTGGAGTGTAACCTGCCAGGGTACTGGAGCAGCTGACTGGCATTCTTTTATCACCATCACCACTGTCAGTCGAATCTTGAGTTGTACTCAGTGAAAAACACTTTGTACTTCATCTGTAACCAAAAGGCTTATCCAGCCTTTGCTTGAGTACTTCCAATGAGGGCAGGATCACATTTTAACAGCCCTAATACTTTTTGACAGGCAGTGTCAAATATTTTTATACACTTTTTTTTTTTTATCATTTCATTGAATTCATTCTGTATTCTTGGCTTATCAAAATTGTCTATTGATAAATTTTGACTTTCTAATACAGGTGGGGTGTTTTTTTTGGTAGTATGTAGATTATATAATGAGCAATTAAATTATGAATTTTGATCTTCTAATAATGTTTTTCATGTTAAGTATGTTTTATAGGAAAACTGAGGAAATTTTTCTTTTAAGAGAATAAATATAATTTTCTTCTCTATAACCAGTAATAAGGAGAGAAAGGGCTAAATTTTTAGACTTCTTTCTTATTTTTAAATAAATTCATTAATTTAAAGTTCCCAATAAATAAATGGGAAGTACATAAAGAAACTATTCATAAAAGAAGAGGAAAACGGCTTAAGTATGTCAAAAAATAGTAAAATTTAACTAGTAAAGTAAATTAATATTTCATGGTAGTTTTTTTTGTGTGTGTGTGTTATAAATTGGGAATGACCATGCCTAGTGCTGCCTAGCTAAAGTGTGAAATGGGTACATTCCTATATTATTGGCAGTGTAAAATATGAAAAGAATTTTGGTAATATATATCAAAAGCTTCAAAACTGTTCATGGCCTTTAGACCTATTATTCGACTTCAGGGGTTCTGTGGTTAATGACTTTATCCTAAATTTCAAAAAAGCTGTATTCATAAAGATGTTTGTGGTAGGTTGTTTAAATAAAGAAAATAAAATATCTTGAGCATAGATCTATGAATTTTCTTAAATTGCATACTAAATTCTAAATACACGAGTTTTATTTCCCAGAAATTCTGGGCTGTAGCTTTTTTTTGCCCCCCCCCCCCTTTTTTTTAACAGAGGGTGAGAGAGAGAGAGTTCAAATGGGGGAGGGACAGAGAGAAAGGGAGAGAGAGAATCCCAAGCAGGGTCCATGCTGTCATCATGGAGCCTGATGCAGGTCTCAACCCCATGAACCGTGAGATTATGACCTGAGCGGAAACCAATAGTCAGACAACTGGCTGAATCATCATGGAGCCCCTGGGCTGTAGCTTTACGAGATTATTAGAAGGGTCCTTGGAGTTCATAATATTAAGGACCATTGTTTTGTTTTGTTTTGTTTAATGTTTTATTTTTTATTTTTGAGAGAGAGAGAGAGACAGTGAACAGGGGAGGGGCAGAGAGAGGGAGACACAGAATGCAGAAACACGGTCCAGGCTCCAAGCTGTCAGCACAGAGCCCAATGCAGGGCTCGAACTCACCAACCGAACTGTGAGATCATGACCTGAGCCGAAGTCAGATGCTCAACAGACTGAGCACTCCAGGTGCCCCAAGGACCATTGTTTTTAATCATTGATGCCAAATCACTTATATCAAAGATGTCCCTAAAAGGAGGTATAATAGAGGTCTAGAAGGAGATACTATAAAATGTTTGTTGCTTTGGAGGAATACGGGAATTTTTATTCTTTCTGCTTTTCTATATTGTTCGGATATTTTATAATGTGTATGTATTACTTTTATGATATTAATAAAAATTACCAAAAAAATTCTGTGAACTTGATAAGCTTATGCAATGGAATCAAACATATCTCCTGGAAATGTGTGTGAAAAAGTGAGAAGTATTGGGAAGAGTATGCAATAGTCATAAAATAATCAACCATTTTATTTAACCCTGATTCTTTATTTACATAGTTTCTTTTTTCATGTCATGCCATCACCAGGCCCATGAGCCCATGTAGTGAAAGCAGAAAGAAACTATTCATAAAAGAAGGCTCCAGTGTAATACAGACCTGAGTTCTGATCTGCATTTTGCCACTCTGTTGCATAGCATGGGCACATTAACTTCTCTGAGCCTCAGTTTCTTCATGGGGATTATAATGCTCAATTTTGCAGGCTAATATGGGGATGAGATGAGGTGATAAATGTAAAGTGCCTAACAGTTTCAGAAGTGACTCATTAATAGTAGTTAGGATTGTTAGTGTTTTCATGCCTTTGTAACAGGAAGTAGTATAGGTATTGATTGGGAATATGTAGAGAATTCTACAAAATGAAGAGTGCAGAGTGCTTCCTATTATCCCTTTCAGGCAGCTTCACTGCTATCAGTGTGGCAAGATTTGCCATAGAGGTGGAATTTTTAAAATTTTTCTCATGCATTTATACTCTGCCTATTTTTAACATTTCTGTTTTTCCTTTATATTCTTTTTCTAAGATTCTTGTTATCATTGTCATGCATGTTTCCATAATCTTGTGAAAATTAAACACTTTTTTCTAAAGTATTTCTCTAGGTATCTTCACTTCTTTGTTACAAAAATAGAACTCTAGATGTATGAATGTATCCTATTGAAGATTTTTGACTGTCATGATTTATTGTATTTATTAATTAAAATTGAGTTTTCAGGTTTCAAAAAAAATTTAGTCCTGGTAAAATGTTATCATATTTCTTAATATAATTCTTACGTTCTTTGTGCATTCTGATTTTTTCATTTCATTTTCAGATAAATGTGTTGTTTTGCAGTCATAAATAATAATTTTGGACATTTATATAAATATTTTTCAGAAATTAATGGAGCGAATTCAAAATCCTGAGTATTCAACAACTATGGATGTTGCACCTGTCATTTTAGCTGCTCATCGTAACAACTATGAAATTCTTACAATGCTGTTAAAACAGGATGTATCTCTACCCAAGCCCCATGCAGTTGGCTGTGAATGCACATTGTGCTCTGCAAAAAACAAAAAGGACAGCCTCCGACATTCCAGGTTAGAAAGTTAAGGTTTTGATGAATAGGTGTGTGATACAGTAAGGTATGTCAGTGAAATTTTTGTTGTTTATCTTTCTATGAAGCTTTTAAGAAATATGGTACTGGGATGCCTTATAAAAGCTAAACTTCTAGTTCTTTTGCTTAGTATGAGTTTTACATTTTTAAAAAATGTTTACTAAGTGATGAATAATTAGCAAAATCCTTCAAATTATGAAAGGTTTACCTCATACTCCTACTGGTGGGGCTTGAAGACACTATTTGCTTTTTGAAAGCAGAGTTTATTAATCTAAGAGAATTTTCAAATAATGGAAGGGGTGAAGATACCCCTTCTTATTTATAAGGAAATAAATATTTTCTGTCTGACTAAATATTTAACTTATTATGCCTTTTACTTCCCCTTTCACACAGTATGCAAGTTTTTTTCTCTTCCCATTATCCCCAGTCAAAATGTTGAGAACAACTGAGGAGAAAATGAACAAGAAAGTATCCCATTTTGGACAGGTTGAGCAAGATCACATACATGGGCATGTTGTATAAGGTTCTGGGCTAGACTTGAGATCTAATTTTCAGCATAAGCCTATATATAAATCATCTATGTAGTAATCAAATATAGTTGAAATTGTATCACATATAATATTTACTGTGGAAATGTGGTCTCGAAGTCCTAAGAAGCCTGTTGACAAGCTGTTTTTACAGTATATGAAATTAGCTTTAAAGCTGCAAAGTATTCACCCTTACTTCTGCCTTACCTTAAGAACAGATCTTTGGTAGATTGACAGATAGCGACAATCCATAAATTGAGAAAGTCTCCTGGGAATCAATTTAATGTTTATTTGCAGAGGTTGAGCTGAAAAATTTTTCTATTTTCAAATTGATTTACAGTGAGATCTGTGTTTCTTTTTGATAAGATCAGGTTGATAGCTATGGCTTTATCATTTACTTTTTAGTTTTAAAATGACTAGTCTATAAGATGACCAACAGAAATGATCTTTAAGGCCTCTTCTAGTTTTGAAATCCTTTATTAATATTAAATATAAATATTTCCAGATTGTATGCTTGTTAGATAGGTGTGTAGTTGAAGCAGCTGAGGGTAGAGGAGTTGGAGCTGGAGAGAACACTCAGCCTGGCTTCGTTTGAGTTGGGGAAGACACTTTGTTCTGAAATCTTTTAGAGAAAGAAAAGAGAAAGGAAACCATAAAACAGACTCTTAACTATAGAGAACATACTGAGGGTTGCCAGAGAGGAGGTTGGCGGGGGGATGGGTTAAATGGGAGATGGATGTTAAGGAGGACACTTGTAATGAGCGCTGGGTGTTTATTATATGTAAGTGATGAATCACTAACTTCTACTCCTGAAACTAATATTACACTATATGTTAACTAACTGGAATTTAAATTAAAACTTGAAACAAAACAAAATAAAATAAAGTAAGATGAAATAAAATCAGGTAATGTCTTTCATCTTTTATGTTTTTTTTAATATTTTTGGTTATACTGTGTCCTTTGCATTTGTAGATAAAGCTTAGAATGAATTATCATTTTTTATAAAAATACTTGCTTGAATTTTTTTTTTTTAAGTAGGCTCCACACCCAACGTGGGGCTCAAACTCACAACTCTGAGATTAAAAGTCATGTGCTCTACTGACTAAGCCAGCCAGGCACCCCAAAGTTTTAAGAGAAGTTGCATTAAACCAATTTGGAGAGAATTGCCGTGTTAATAATATTAAATCATTCAAACTGTGAACATGGTATATCTCTCCATTTTATTAGATCTTCCTAATTACTCAGCAGTGTTTTCTAGTCTTCAATGTATAGGTCTTATACTTCTTGTTTACAATTCATTCCTAAGTATTTTATCTGTTTTGATAATACTGCACATGAGTTGCTTTCTTACTTTCATTTGCAGATGGTTCATTGCTAGTATATAGAAATAAAACAGATTTTTTTGTATACAGGTTTTGTATCTTGTGATCTCACTAAACTCATTAGTTCTAATAGGGTGTTTTGTTTGTTTGCTTGCTTGCTTTTTAGATTCCCAAGGATTTTTTACATATAAGATTATATCATCTGTAAATAGAGATAGTTTTACTTCTTTTCCAGTCTTTGGGCCTTCATTTTTCTTGCTTTATTACACTTACATTTTCTTGCTTTATTATCCAGGGTGATGTTGAATGTAAGTAAGACTGAATATCCTTGCCTTTTCTGGACTTTCTATTTGGGAAAGAATTCAGTCTTTTAACATTAAGTATGATGTTAGCTATAAGTTTTTCATTGATTTCCTTTATAAGAATAAGTAAATTCCTTTATATTTCTAGTTTTTGAGGGTTTTTTTTTTTAAGTCAAGAATTGATTTGGGATTTTTGCCAAATGCTTTTTTGCATCTATTAAGTTGCTCATATGGTATTTGTTCTTTATTCTATTTATATGATGTATTATATTAATTTATGTTCAGATGTCAAACTAACCTTACATTCCTGGAATAAACTCCACTTGGTTGTGTTATATAATACATTTTAGGGGTTACTGAGTTCATTGTGCTAATATGTTAAGTATTTTTGTGTGCATGTTCATGAGGGATAGTGTTCTATTACATCTTTTTCCTATGTCTTGTCTTGCTTTGACATCAGGAGAACACTGGTCTCATAAAATAAGTTTTGAAATATTTCCACCTCCTCTATTTTCTGACACAGTATTGTTTAGGACAGACACTATTTGTTCCTTCCTTACATGTTTGATAGAATTCATCAGTGAAGCCATTTGGATCTAGATTCCTTCTTGGCAGGATGGCTTTTAATTTCTAAGTCAATTTTCTTAATATAGGGTTCTTTGGATTTTCTGCTTATTCTTGAATCTGTTTGACAATTTGTGATAGACTAGGAATTTTTCCATTCCATCTATGTTGTCTAATTTGGCATAAAGTTGCTCATATTCCTTTAATATTTTTCCTCTCTGTAGGATCTCTTTTTATTTTCTTATTTGTGTCTTCTGTTTTTTTTATTGGTCATTATAGCCCAGAAATTGCCCAGCTACAGTCTTCAGGTCAAATCCAGCCCACCAACAGTTTTTATAAATTGAGATATAGCCAACCATTCGTTAATTTATTGTCTGTTGCTGCTATCACTATATAACAGTAGAGTTGAGTAGTTCTCAAAGCCTAAAATGGTTATTATCAAGCCATTTACAGAATGAGTTTGCTGATTCCTAATATACCTAAAGGCTTGTCAGTTTTATTGATCTCTTCCAAGAAACATTAATTTCATTCTTCTCTGCTGTTTTTCTTTTTTATTGCTTCTGCTTGGATTTTTATTATCTCTTTCTATTTATTTTGGGTTTGATTTGCTCTTCTTTTTCTAGCTTCTTAAGTTAGAATTTAGCTTATTGATTTTAGATTTTCTTTATTTTTAATGTAAGTATGTTCAAGATATTTTCTAATTATTTTGTGATTTCTTTGATTATTAATATTATTATTATTATACTTCCTTTTTAAGAGAAGTTTTAGGTTTAACAAAACTGAGCAGAAAGTACAGAGTTCCTACATACTACCAAATTCACTCCCTCCCCAGCTTCCTGAAGATCAGCATTCCTCACTTGTGTGATATCTTTGATTCAATAGATGAACAAACATTGACCCATAATTATCACCCAGATAATTAGGGTTCACTCTTGGTGTTGTACATTCCAAAGGTTTTGACAAATGTATAAGGACATGTAGCCACCATTCATAGTTTCATAGAAAATAGTTTTACTACCCTAAAAATCCCCTACATTACACCTATTTGTCCCTGCCTCACCTCAAACCCCTGGCAACCACTGATTTTTTTTTTTTTTTATTGTCTCAATGGTTTTAACTTTTCTGTAATGTCATATACTTGGAGTCATATATAGTATGTAGCCTTTTCATATTGGATTCTTTCACTTAGTCATACACGTAAGTTTCCCTCATGTAAGTTTCCCTCACATGTTTTCATGGCTTGACAGTGCATATCGTTTTAATATTGAACAATATTTTATTGTATGAATTTTCTACAGTTTGTCCATTCACCTACTGAAAGACATCTTAATTGCTTCCAAATTTTGGCAGTTATGAATAAAGCTGTTAGAAACATTCATGTACAGGTTTTTGTGTGGACATAAGTTTTCAATTCATTAGATAAATACCAAGAAGTGTGATTGCTGGATCATATGGTAAGAATATGTTTACTTTTACAAGAAACTATCTTCCAAAGTACCCACACGATTCAGCATTCCTACCAACAAAGAATGAGAGTTGATGTTGCTCCACATCCTTACCAGCATTTGATATTGTTAGGGTTTGGATTTTAGCCTTTCTAATTGGTATGTAATGGTACTCATTGTTGCTTTAATTGCAATTCCCTAGTGACATATGATGTTGTACATCTCTTTATATGCTTATTTGCCATCTGTATACCTTCTTTTGTGAGATGTCTGTTCAGATCTGTTGCTTATTTTTTTATTTATTTTTTAATGTTTTTAATGTTTATTTATTTTCAAGAGAGAGAGATTGAGAGGCAGAGCATGAATGGGGGAGGGGCAGAGAGAGAGGGAGACACAGAATATGAAGCAGGCTCCAGGCTCTGAGCTGTCATCACAGAGCCCGACGTGGGGCTCAAACCCACACACCATGGGATCACCACCTGAGCCAAAGTCAGACGCTTAACCAACTGAGCCACCCAGGCGCCCTTGTTGCTTATTTTTTAATTGTGTTGTTTGTTTTCTTATTATTGAGTTTTAAGTGTTCTTTGTATACTTTATATACAGAGTCCACTATCAGATATATTTTTTGCAAATATTTCTCTCAGCCTGTGCCTTTTCATTCTTTTCATTCATGGTCTATTTATTTGTTTATCTATCTTATTTATTTAAATGTTTATTTATTTATCTTGAGAGAGAAAGAGAGTAGCACATGCAAGCGGGGAAGGGGCAGATAAAGAAGGAGAGAGAGACTCCCAAGCAGGCTTCTTTCTGTCAGTGCAGAGCC